AGAACACATATTAAACTCCCCCACCCTCCATCCCAAGCCCCCAGAACACATATTAAACTCCCTCCCAAGCCCCCAGAACACATATTAAACTCTCCCCCTCCCATGCCCTCAGCACACATAATAAGCTTCCCTCCCAAGCCCCCAGCACACTCCTTTCAAGCCCCCTCACCTGCTGGCATCTGTGCAGGGAGGAGGTACATCATCCATCATTCGGCCTGAGCTCGGAACTGACAGAGCTCCGGCCGGAGCTGACAGGAGCAGCTATGCGGTCTGCATCCGATAGAGATGCAGACCGTGTAGCTGCTCCAGCAAGTCGGGCACACGGTCCGTCACTGTGTGACCGACTTGTCAGCTAGCTGCGGGCCGGTACTTTGAGACCCCTGCTATAAAGTATGGCACCCATAAAATGCTGAATTATTATGCCCAATGACATCTCGTCACCTAGGTACTTGAGGCAAATGCCACAGTTCTGGAGATGGATGCTTGGATGTAATAAATTGTAAAAAAATGTGGAATGTAGGTACAGGAACCTCTTTGGTAGCATGATCCCTTCTAAGTTGTATTCCCGCAATACGGCACAACCCTTAAATTAGTTAGCTCTTGTCTCAGTATGGCCACTTTGTAGTATTCTGTATCTCTCTGCAATTTTACACCCTTTTGCAATTGGGCAGCCAAGTGCAATATTGTGCCTCTGTGACTACCAACCTACATAGCCTAATGCTTTGTTTTTTAGTGTGCTAAATTTGTACCAGAAATATCTCTGCAAAAAAACAGCCAGGGTGGCTATAATGTCATATGAGTAAAGTGGCTTTAGCCTGCAGCCTAAGGTACAGACACTATTAAACCATACATTCTTGAAAACCAAACCTATAGTTTGTCCTTGCCCATTCTTTGATAAGAGCAGTGCTCATAGTATTGACTATAGCCTTGATTGAGATGGATGTACTATATTATTTATTGTGTTTTATTTGTTTTCCAGGTCTTGAAAAATTAATGGAAGCCGAAGTCTCTGTTAATCAGTTGTCAAAAGAGCTAGCAGTTAAGGAGAAAGATTTGGCTGTTGCCTCTAAGAAGGCAGATGAGGTCTTGCAGGAAGTGACTCTCAAAGCTCAAGCTGCTGAAAATGTGAAGATGCAGGTTCAAAAGGTGAAAGACAAAGCACAAGTCATTGTGGATGAAATCGCTGTTGCTAAGGCATCTGCCGAGGAGAAACTGGAAGTGGCCAGGCCAGCTCTTCAGGAGGCTGAGGCAGCTTTGCAGGTAACAATTACAAGATGAGCATATCATTACCATGCTGTTTGCCAAACTGCATTTTCTGTTTTAATTCACACTTTAGGGTTTTATTTATGAAGCAGTAAATGTGACATTCATTGTAGGTGTATCTTTCTGGGGCAAGTTTTTTAACCCGTTTGCTGCCATGGACATAAGTTGACTGAGTACCTGGGACCTCCTTTGAGGATGTGAGGATAAAGAGCAGTGAGAGATCATTGAACATCCGTTCCCTGATCTCATTTGTGAAGAATATACCCGGAAGGTTCAGGGCTTTCAACCCCCGGGGCTTTAGAGCTGGAAAAGAAGCTGACCAAGCACGATCTGTGCTTCATCAACTTCAACAGATTGACATTAGGGGCCTAAGAGAACCTGTCACCTGCACTATGTTATCACATTGGGGGCGTATGTGCATGTTGGATGCGCATGCATACGGAAATGACAATTGCTCCAAAGATATTAGGTATCTCCTTTCAGGTCTGTGTTGGAGAAGTAATTCAAGGGCTATCATTTACTGTTAACTCTAAAGTAATGATCTGTAAAGACTTAAAGTATCTTCAGGTTTAAAATGTGCTTTTTAGCATATGTGCAAAAAATAAAAAAACAAATGGCCCTGGCAGCAAAAGGTTTAAATCACAATGATTGATTCACCTGAAGTGAATGTTTGCTGAATGTGACAATAACTACTATATAAACACACCCATAAGATGATTTTTTTTATATTTCATAGTAGACTTCTCATTGCACATAATTTGCTTGCTTGCTAATTGCTTTTAAAAAGTATATTTTTGTTTTGTACAGATTCAATAAATATATATATTTTTTTTTTCCATTACAGTAACAACAAGTGATACATTTAAATAGATGTCCCTTCTAGCTGATGCCTGTGTTTTTTGTAGACATGCATTCTTTAAGGCAAAATATCTTATGTCTTTCAGACTATTAAACCTACTGACATATCAACAGTTCGAAAACTGGGAAGACCTCCTCATTTAATTATGAGAATCATGGACTGTGCTTTGTTGTTGTTCCAAAGAAAGATTGATCCAGTGACAACTGATCCAGACCGGAATTGTGTAAAACCATCCTGGGGAGAAGCCTTGAAACTAATGAACAATGCAGGTTTTCTTAACTCATTGCTGGAGTTTCGGAAGGTAAATATATAACACGTTCAGAGGTAGAGCGTTTTTTCTATAAATGGGATCAGAATTAAACATACAGAGGTGCAGAATGTTTTCTATAGAGTGGATTAGAATTAAATTGTCTGTGGTTGAGTTTTATAAGTAGTGCATACCGAGACCAAAACTCAGAGTACTGTCCCTTAATCTTTGAAAAGTTAATTATGTTCCTACCACAGCTAGTACACTAAATTGTATTGTTTTATAAAAGTGCTATATGTGTCCTTACTAGAGTGATGGAGTTCTTCCATCAGACGCAAATGATCCACCCGTGTCAACCACTCTGCCACCGTGTGTGTTTGGTTTGAGCGCCAGTGTGTGGGGATGAGAGTTTTCGCTGCATTGAGCATAAAGGGAATTACCGATCTCTTATATGAGCGCATTGAAAGGGGGTTAGATGGAAGAGGCACAGCCAGGGGTCCAAGTGTGTAGGTATACCGCTAATGGTGGAAATGAGACGGGTGACGTCTCCCCAGAACTGTTGTATGTGCGGGCAATCCCACCATAAGTGAGCATACGTGCCTTGAGCTCCGCATGATCTCCAACACAGCGGGGAGTTTGCCTGGTTGATGGCATGGGTGATGGTAGGTACCTGATACCACCTCGCGAGAAGTTTGAAGTTGACTTCCATCATGTAGCTATCCGGGGAGGCAGAGGAGCACATATGCACGGAATATTCCGTGCGTCAAAGGCACGTTTAGTGTCCGATTCCAGCAGCTCTCTAAGTCGTTCTCGTTTGAGGGTAAGTGTTTGATATGTAGAGCTGTCAGCAGTAATTTTATTAGATATTTCTAGAGAATGTATTTCGGACAGTAACAGTTGTAGCTGCACAACCCAATCCCTCTTCTTCCTGGAGCCTATGGCAATCAGCGTACCCTGGATCACTGACTTGTGGGCTTCCCAGAGGACTGCAGGGGAAACAGATTCCTGGGCGTTTTCCCTGAAGTAGGTATCTATATTGGCAGCCACGGTTGCAACAACCATTGGGTCGTGGAGGAGGCATTCATTAAGCCGCCAATTGTAGCTTCTAGTTGGGGCATTCGCTAAAGTAAGTAATACAGATACCGGAGCCTGGTCCGATAAAGTAAGAGGGAGTATAGTCGCGGCTTGTACCGCTTCTAGAAGGAAGTGGTCTAAGAAGAGCATGTCTAACCGCGAGTAGGAGTTATGGACAGAGGAGTAGTGGGAGTAGTCCCTCTCACTGGGGTGAAGTACTCTCCATACATCAACCAGGTGGAGACCATGTAGCATTCTGCGTACAGTATTAAGGTGTGATTTAGGGTTACGTGCATGGCTTGTGGATGTGTCCATGGATGGGTCCATGCAAAAGTTAAAATCCCACGGCACCATCAGGTGACCGAAACGAAAGCTCCGAAGTTTATCCAATATTTTTCTAAAGTAGGAAGCTGGTGAGGAATTCGGACAGTAAACGTTCGCCACAGTATATATAACACCATATAATTCAACATGAAGAAAAAGGAACCTGCCCTCCGGGTCAACCATTCTATCAGTGACCGTAAAGGGAATATCCTTTCCAAATCCTATGGCGACCCCACGCCCCCGCTTGGTAGGGGACGTGCAGTGGTACCAGTGTGGAAAGTACCCAGAATGCAAACGTAACGCAGAATCATGAGCGATATGAGTCTCCTGCAAGAAAACCACGTCAGCCCGCAATCTGTGTAGCTTAGCCAATACTTTGTGCCTTTTGGCGGGGGCATTAAGCCCCTGACATTGTATGTCACCAGGCGTAGGGACGCCATCATGGATATGGAATGATATGCGACCAAAACATCAAGCGACCCAGACCCAGGAAAAGAACCACAAAGGGAAGGGAAGGGAGACTTACAAGGGGGGACAAAGACATCAACAAGGACACGGGGGAACACATATAGGACAGAGAACATCTTGTAAAAACCACACCCATCCACACCACATACTTCCCAACCAACCATACACACTTGACTCTCATACCTAATCTAAACACAAAATGACTCAACATAGTAAAACGAGCAAGACCGGACACTCCCCACGTATCCCCTGTGTCCCTCCAACTCTATCCTATTAGCGGGTTGAAACTAACCACTTCTCCTGCACCCACTTCCATCCACATCCCATTGATTTCATATTCTCTCCCCTTATTCTTTTTTCTGAGAACCTATAGAACCATTTCTATCTATAACACCTCTTTGACCCAATTAGGATATGGAACAGATAAACTACAAAAACCTCAATTAATAAAAAACAAAAATAAAAAAAAGGGAAAAATCCATCTACCTACACTTACATACATGCAAACGCATACAAGGCTCAAAATCTCCACTCGCCCCCTCGCTAGCGGCAAGCGAAAACCGCGAGGGGGCGAGTGGAAACAAAACCACTGAGTGAGACACTCAGTTGTGGACCTAGTGCCCAACTCCCGGAGGGATCCTAGGTAACTTGCCGTACGCGGCTGCTCACACCCGAGCATCTTCCCATACCAAGGATGGCCGCTTGACGGCCGCCATCCCTACTAAGGTCCTCTCCTTTATCCTAACGACGGCATAACATCCTGCCTGCGCACGAGGATTATGGGAGCTGTAATTCCACTTTTACAGCGCCTCCGTGACAGCAATGGGTAAGTGTGTTGCGTAGGGGGTATTGGGTTAGATTTTATTGTTGCGGTGGTCCCGTGTCCCGGTGCTCCATCATCCCATCAGACCCGTAACCCCAATCCGATCTGATAAAGTCACGGGACAGAACACCGCACCCCACGGACGTCGCAATACAGGAGAAGGCCCGGGGTGGACTGGCAGACCACGAGAGGGGCCCCAACAGCTTCATATGCTGCAAGTCCCCTTCATGCCGCCTAAGCTGCAATAGCTATGCATGGGACCGGAATTAGTCCCAAGTGTCCGGCCCCTGCCAGCAGGTAATTGAGGAGGACATAGAGATGGGTCGGGGTGCCATGTGTGTATCATGGATGTACGCATATGTGTGATATCCTGTGCGTTGTGCTGTGGCTGCATATGTAATGTCCTGTGCATTGTGCTGTGGCTATACAGTATGGTTAATGTCCTGTGTGTTGTGCTTTGGCTATATGTGTAATGTCCTGTGCGTTGTGCTGTGACTGCATATGTAATGTCCTGTGCATTGTGCTGTGGCTGCATGTGTAATGTCATGTGTAATGTAAATTGTTTTGTTAATGGGAAGAGGACTCCTCTGGGAAGGGAAAGGTGACAGATTTTGTTTTTCTTTCTTTTAAAGCAAATGTGTACCCAGTCAAAAATACATGAAACTGATAACTATTAAGACTTCCCTAGCACTGTTTTAACAAATTCCCCATCCAAAGGGAAACTCTTGGTGAAACTATAAATCTCTAAACCAGAAGTAAATTTCATTAGATTAAATGTATCTTATAATTCTGGCAAATAAATATATCTAGTTGAAAAGGTAATATGTTAAATTGTGCATACCCTTGTTAGTTAGTAGAGAGTGTAAACCATTTTAAGTGACTTTTGAGTGACTCATTAGTGTGTCCTTTAAAATGTTAATTGCAGGAATCAAACCTTAAGTCGGGTATACACATGTCTATTTTTTTCCTTCAACCTGCAGGCTGAACAAAAAAAATAGAACAGAGTCCTCCATCAACACTTATGATCATTGATCGACTACTTCCTCACTGTTTGCATTGCATTCTGACAGCAGCCATGGCTGCTGTCAGAATAGCCGAACTGACTGGCTGCCAGCTCAGTTCGGCCGAGCATTTCCAGCCTGCCCCTTCTGTCAGCTGATCAAGGGATGCTGAGCGAAAGGGTGTCGACAGCGGCACCCACTGTGCGAATTTGGGCTGGTTCATCAGCAAGCAGCCGAAATTCGTACCCGGTGCACCCTACTGTAGAGATGAAAATGTCACTTATACAGTCTGTGTAAGTGCTATTAACACATTAACACAACTATAAATGCACTATAAGCAGGTTAATTGTTGGTTTAAATACTATGAGTGGTAACCCACTCAGTTACCAATGATAACAATGATAATATAAGAGTATGTGATATGATTATTGACAGTACCTCACTGCTGATTTTAGAATCCTTTAAGCAGTAAAAACTCTTGTAAAATGAAATGGAATAGCAAGGTGTAATAAATAATAAGCCTAATAAAATACAGTGATCATCACCTTACAACCAAATCATTAAAGCCATAAACATAAATAAATACTAATAATAGATTTATTTATATGTAAATAGACAAATGTAGTTGTCATTTAAGACAGTTTTAGTATTTTATAAATAAAAGGGTGATAAAAAAATGGTCCACACATTGATATATTAAGATGCAGCTATATATACCGTATAGCAATAACAGTCAATCACTTACGATCATTACATTGATACAAAGCAAATTATAGCTTCAGGATATACAATACAGTGATATACCTGACATGCCAATCTCAAAACCCCTTTGGACATATATTGAGCCTAACAAGCGTCTCTCTCCCTCTCTCTTACCACACCATGGTACTGTCTGCTGGAAAGCACTCCTCGGAACTTCACGCACTATTGTGCAGAGACCGGCCTGTTCCCACTTACAAAGCAGTGTCAGCGGTGTCCTTCATCTGCTCCAAAATAGTGTTTCTAACAATGGATACATGTGATTCCTGATCCCATATAATCAAATATAGACTGACAAATGAACTCATAATGTAAATAATGCATATGTATGCTGGTGAATTTCAGTTGTAGTTACACAGACCAATACTGTCAACTGATGGATTTGTCAAAGCAGAAGTGCATGCATCAGACTGGTGCCTAAGGCTGCTATTTCAGAAACACTGATCAGATAATCAGGTCATTGGACATATTGAATTCCATAACAGTATGTAATTAAGGAGAAAGTGTGTTTGCAGATTGCCACATACAAAATTACTCTTCAGCTACTGAAGGTCAATTTTACTGTCCTGTGCCACCCATTGGAACAATGACATCCTCTTTCTGTATGTATTTACTGTTTCACACAATATGAGATCATTAGAGTTTTATTCATCATGCTTTATAGAACTTCACTCATAATACATTCAGGTTATAGTTTTTCTGACCTTCGGTGTTTACCTTACTACATAAAAACACACTTGTTAATGTTCCAGCAGAGATGCAAAATTAGCTACATTATCCACATGGAAGGTGGTATAATGCATTCTATAAGGGTGTTTCATCAAATTAAGTCTTTTGCCCTCTTTTAATCTAAGCCTCTTATTTATACTTTACCCTATTGCAGTGCAAAAGTATGGTCTGTGGACCTTCCCCCAACAACACAACATATCTGGCCAATTCCAATTTGCCAATATGTGCAAGTTCTGATTACCCACACAATCCTGAACATTCCACAATGAGCAGGTAAATCTGCACTTGTAATGTGGTAAATACATCAAATATAGAGAATTTTCAATAATTTTTACAAAGAGAGATGGAAAGTAATAGAACGTAGTGGAAGAACATGTGATACATACATACAGTGCTATACCCTTTACCTGTAACCAGAAACTGATTGCTATTGAAACTTAAAATCTAGGGAAATCAATAAAATCTAAGACAGGGTATTGTGAGGGCTGACTTTCTTAGAATAATATGACTCTAGTGAGTGGTTAACAGTGTAAGGTTTCTGGTCTTCATTTGGCTTCCAGTATGCAGCATAACTAGAGGTGAGAGATTGTTAAAAGGTGGCCTATATTGAGTATGTTGCTAGGTCTTCTCATCTCTACAACATATGGTCAGGCCTTGTTCCGAGGCATAGAGATGGTATTGTCCATGGTATATCAAGATTGTATTTTCCCATTAATTAAAAAATCCCCATTGCAATGTAATGATGCTGTTCTAGCCTTATACTTAAGTGTTATGCAGATGGCCAAATAAAATATTTCTATAATTTAATGTCTTTGCTTTTTTTTTTTAAATAAATATGCCTTTTAGATATTGCTGACCAACGGTGATCCCTATTTTAAATCTTTCCTCAACTCTTGTTCTTATTCTTATATCTTTTGTATTAAAAGCAGTATTGCACTGCGCTGTTTTCTGAATTCTCTGTATCATAACTGTATCCTAATACTGTACCTATTACATTTAGGACTCCATCACAGAAGAAATGGTTGAACTGCTGCAGCCTTATTTGGACATGGAAGACTACAACCTTGAATCAGCTAAAAAAGTGTGTGGCAATGTAGCAGGTCTCTGCTCCTGGACACAAGCCATGGCATATTTCTATGGAATTAACAAGGAGGTTCTTCCCTTAAAGGTATGGAGCCCATGTTCACTATGGTAATAATGTTACCATAATGTAATGAGTGCAACATATCATATTTACCACACACTGCCTTACAACTATTTGATATTCTGTTACATTATTTGATCATCCAAAACATGAAAATGAATTGACCTTTTTCTTCATGTTAGTCAAAAAATGGCATACGGGCATAGTTATGCTCCACATAATTTGTTACATAATAGGTATGTGATTTCCCTCTGAGCTCAATTTCTAAATCTCTATGAAGATAAAAGCGGTTGATTTACCAAAGGCAAACAGTTCACTTTGCAAGGGAATATGCACTTTGCGGGGGAAGTTTCTTTTAGTTTGGTGAATGTGCTGATAGATCACTTTGCAAAGAATACCCATTCATGTGCGTGGAAAATAAAAAACTGTATTTTTGCTTGCACGTGATTGAGTAATGGAAGTCAGCAGAGCTTCACCTCATTCACTAAGCTAAGGAGGAACGTCTCTTGTAAAGTGCAAATTCCCTTGCAAAGTGAACAGCCTATCTGTCTTTAGTAAATCAACCCCAACGAATGTAAATAAAAAATGATAACTTATAGTTCTTGTTAACATTATTGTCATGTGCAGAATCATGGTCAGCCAAGATTTTCTTCCACAGTCACTGTCAAGATTCACATATGTGGTAAGATTTTTCCTGTCTAATAGGTTTTGCCAAAAGTCACTCTGTGCCTTGGGTGAAGACAAGTCCAGATTCCAACTAGCAAAGATCAAATACCAAACGGCAAGGATGGGAAATGCACTTGTACAATTTTTTCTGACATCAATTAATATTAACTGCTGTGGAAGACACCAAATTTAGACTGGATATCACAAACCAGTTACTCTTTTCAAAAGGCAGCATGGTGGATATGCAGATAGCACTGTTGTCTTGCTGTACATAAATTCTGGGCTCAGTTCCAAAAAGGAACACTACCTACATGGAGTATGCATATGTTTTTAATCCAAAACATTACTAGCATATTAAGCAGGCACTTAATATGACATATTAAGCAGACACTCAGGAGTTAAATCTTACAAATGCATACCAATACCTTATATGTGATGCTATTCTTTTTAATTTGCTCTGCAGAAATAAACAATTGGGTATTTGATATTAAACATAATGCTATCTGCGTTACTCTCTATTAGAGTTTCATTCGGCAGTGATCTTCAATAAGGCCTGGTTCACACCTGAACGTTTTGTATATGCGCGTCACACACGTGTTTTTCCCCCGCCAGTTTGCACGTTTTTTGCGCGTTTTCGTATTTTTTAAAACGCACGACGCACGCGCGTTTTGGAGCGACAACAGAGGTGTCCAATGAAAAAGAATTCCGGTCTTTCCGCAAGCGTCCAATGAAAGACTCTGGAGACGCAGCATTTCCTTTTCCTGTATCCAAAAGACCGTGTGGTGTCTTTGTCTTTTGTGCAGAGGAGAGATTCGATTTCTGAGTGCTTTTTTGAGTTATTATGGATCTGGCTACACAAAGACGGACTGCAGCAGTCGTTGCAGCAGTGCGCTTGATGCAATTGAGGAGAAGGAGAGAGAGTATGCGACGGTTCTGGGTTCATCCGGTCATAGCGAACCGTGAAGAAAGAGGCCAGTTCTGGGCCATGTATGAGACGCTTCGTGGACATGAGGAGAAGTTTTTCAGCTATACCCGCATGCCCAAAAATAGGTTAGTACATAAACAATTGTTAGTGCTTATTGTTGTTCTGTCTAATTGCTAGTATTGACCACAAACCTTTATATATATTACAGTTTTGATGAGCTACTGGGATTGCTGTCGGTTGAGTTGGAGCGTCAGGACACCTTCATGCGTGACAGCACTCCACCCCCCGAAAGATTAGTTATTACCTTGCGGTAAGTTCACTACATCATTCCTTTGTAGAATTAAAGACCAATGAAAAGAAGCATAAATCTGATCTGTCACAGTACTGTCATTACCCCCCTCCTTTTAAATGATAATCTGTTTACAAGAGTTATATATGAAATTGTATATTAATGCTATATTAATGCTCTATGTGTTGTGCCTTTTGCTGTAGTGTCCTGTGCGTTGTGCTGTTCTGACATAGGTGTCTTTGTGATATGCATGTTGACGTATGGCATGTGTGACCCTCCTACATATGTTTAACCCAACCTTTTATAGAATAAAATCCTAACAATATTTTAAACCTTCATCTTGAACCCACAAAAAAACACACAAACTCATTGTAAAATGTTAATTAACATTTACTATATAAAAATAACATAAACTTAAACGTAAACTTTCCTGCTCAAATGGGTAGGAGGAGAAAACGAAAACGTTTAATACTCAAATTATAAATTTTGATAATTTGGACGCGCCAAGTGCTCCTCAACCTGCATGGGATAGTCTGCTGATTGCTGTGTGTAGGTGGTGGAGCTATGTGCCAGGCTGGTGGTGGGATACACATATGGGGAATGTGGTTGTGGGTGCCATGTTTCTGGGTGGTGCATGGATGTGTGTGGGTATGCATGGGTGTGTGAGTGCATGGGTGCGACGTGCTGTGGATGCTGAATTGGTGGGGCTGGTAAGTGTGGTAAGGGTGCAGTGTCAGGTTGTCTGGAGACACTTTTCAAAATAGCAGCGTCAATGGCCCTGGTGATAGTTTCACGAATTTCGGTCTGTCCATCTTCAGGCACCTTTTTCGATTTGTCCTCCAGGCTCAGGAGGAAATGTGCCTCGCACGAAAGCCTGTCCGAGGACGTGCTACTGCGCATTCGCCGGCGTGATGACGTCACCGCGCCGTATTGCCGCGATGACGTCACGCCGCACGGGGCGTGACCCGCTGGGCCGTCTTACATCTGCGCCTGCGCGGCCGGGATGTGCCGGTGGACGCCCTCTATGTCTGCGTCCCTGCAGAGGGACTCGGCATCTTCCGCGGGCAGGTACCTGACAGTAGCGGTGTGGGGCACTGGCAGCCGAGCCACTACGGTATTCCCGCTGCTTTCTACGGTGGATACTGCCCTTTGTATTCGTAGGAGACAAAGCATTTGCTCTTAGTGAGCATTTAATGAGGCCCTACTCCAGTCATGGGCTAATCCTGGAGAAGAGGGTCTTCAATTATAGGCTCACCCGAGCACGCAGGGTTGTGGAGTGTGCCTTTGGCATACTCTCCAATAAATGGCGCTTCCTGCACTCGCCAATTAACCTCAAAATCGAAAACGCCATCTCTGCGGTGAAAGCAGCCTGTGCCCTTCACAATTTTGTGCGTTGCAGAGATGGGTTCAATTTTGACGATTCATTGGCGCATTGCATGGAGAGTAGCCATTGCAGCGCCAGCCGTGGAACAACGAATGGTGGCAGCATTCGTGACGGTTTTGCTGCATACTTCATGTCACCTGAGGGGGAGGTGTCATGGCAGATGCAAGCGATTCAGTCTTGATTCCCCTCATTTTCCCTTGATCTGATACCAATAAAATATATTTGAATTGAAAACAGACTTGAGTATTGTTTTTTATAAATAGATGCACGCAAGTCACATGCAAACACTACACGCAATTCAAATGTAAACAATACACGCACTTCACATTAACACACTTCATGCACGCATGCTACATGTAAAGACTACACGTATCTGACATTAAAACACTGCACGCCTGTCACATAAAAGCACTGCTAGCATCTGACATAAAAAACACTGCACGCATGTCACATTAAAATACTGCACGTATGGGACATAAAAAACACTGCACGTATGGGACCTATAAAAAACTTCACGCATGGGACATAAAAAAACACTGCATGCATGGGACCTATAAAACACTGCATGCATGGGACATAAAAAACACGGCATGCATGGGACATAAAAAACACTGCACGCATGGGACCTATAAAACACTGTACGCATGGGACATTAAAAAAAACTGCACGCATGTCACATTAAAATACTGCACGCATGGGACATGCATGTCACACTGCACGCACGCACTGCACGCATTTCACAATAAAATACTGCACGCACGGGACCTATAAAAAAACTGCACGCATGGGACATAAAAAAACACTGCACGCATGTCACAATTAAAATACTGCACGCATGGGACATACAAAACACTGCACGCATGTCACAATAAAATACTGCACGCATGGGACCTATAAAAAACTGCATGCATGGGACATGCAAAACTGCACGCATGTCACAATAAAATACTGCACGCATGGGACCTATACAAAACTACACGCATGGGACATTAAAAAAAACACTGCACGCATGTCATAATTAAAATACTGCACGCATGGGACATACAAAAACACTGCACGCATGTCACAATAAAATACTGCACGCATGGGGCATAAAAACACTGCACGCATGTGACATAAAAAAACACTGCACGCATGTCACAATTAAAATACTGCACGCATGGGACATACAAAACACTGCACGCATGTCACAATAAAATACTGCACGCATGGGACATAAAAACACTGCACGCATGTGACATAAAAAAACACTGCACGCATGTCACATTAAAATACTGCACGCATGTCACATTACAATACTGCACGCATGGGACCTATAAAATACTGCACGCATGTCACATTTAAATACTGCACGCATGTCACATTACAACAGTGCACGCATGTCACATTACAACAGTGCACGCATGTCACATTACAACAGTGCATGCATTCTGCAAAAAAAATATTAAACACATAAAAACATTGCTGACATGTACCTTTTGATCCTTTCACTTGTTTGGAGTATGTTTCCCAATCAGGCCATGTAGCTTCACAAACATCTTGCCAGGCACGTTGCCTGATTCTCCGTTTTTTGTAGTCTGCATGTCTCATATCGTAGAGACAGGGTTTTGCCTGCACCAGCCGTATGAATGCCTCTGAATCAAGTAGGCCACATGCACTGGAATCCTCCATCTTGCTCTTCTTCTTGCTCACACAACAAGTTGCAGAGGGGAGTGGTCTGTTGCCATGTGTGGAACGCGCGTTCTATGCGTGATTTTTGC